CCCCCCCCCCCCCTCTTTCGGACACTCTTCGACACTGCCTGTGTGTAAAGACGGTGGTTATGTGACATAACCGCTCGTGTCTTCACGCGTACGTATATGACACACACTATACAATATATCACACAGTGATATACATTCGTACGTATACACCGTTATCGTAACGTATTTATCAGCACCGGCAGTTAATTCGTGTTGTCGCCGCCTCTACGACGCGAGATTATCGGTCGCATAAACATCCCGTGATAATTCGCGAAAATATGAGGCTGCCTTGAGCGAGAGCTTATTGGCCCCCGTTGCGCGATGAAGACCGATCGATTTTACGAGCCGGAGGTCACTACACAGGGTGTTTCGTAAGGTTCCGCGCGCTCTCCGCCCGATGTGCGCGGATGAAAGTCTTTCCATCACGCGCTGAGAATCCTTAATCAAGTCGTTTCACTCGGCAACGGTTTCCTTAAATAACGATCAACTATTATGGCACACTCGACGAGTCGAATTATCCGTGTTACATCACGTTCCGCGTTGAATTATTGATCGCGGCTTTATTAGCCGCTGCGACAATTTTCGCTAGACCGATGTGAACAACATTCGCGATGTGTATACACGCGCGAACGTGAATATAAAAATAAAAATTCGCACGACAGGAGGATGCGGGAAATTTTATTCGAACAAATTTTGCCAGAACGGCAAAATTTCTTTCCTCCGTGCGTATCATCTCGAGCGCCGAAGATAACGAGTCGAGGGAGATACTTTGTGTGGGACATTAACTGAGAAGTAACGCGAAGTAATGACGATCGCACTTACATTTGCGCTCGAATTTATTTAATTAATATATAAATCCACCGTGCCGAAATAAATCTCGCTCGTAACGCGGATCGTATTATAACTAATTAAAGTCTTATCGACGAAACTATTTCCAGCCCGCGGTGCGCACGTATATAAATCGTTGGGAAAAAAGAAGGGAAAGAAAATCTCCGCGAAACACCGCGATCGGTCCGAATCAAATTTTGAAAGGCCGGCTGCCCCCCCCCCCCCATCGCTAAAAATATTCGGCCTTTCCAGTCGTAGACGACATGACCTATCCAACGTTTATATCCTTAGCTCGGATCTACATAATACATCACGTGAGATAGTTAACAATGCTTACGAACTGGTTCACGCGGCGCGCATTCCACGTTATATATAAAATGTTTCTTATTGTTCTGTCTCTGGAAGAAGTGGAACGGCGCTGAGTGGAACCGGACGAGCGCTACCGGATAACAAATATATATATATATAGCCTTTCGGAACGTCTTCTGTTTATCGGATTGCCGGTGAAGATAAAACTGTCGACTTTCTCCGAAGCTTCCCGGCTTTTCTAATCTAATTTCATCGATCTCATCTGTCTCTTCTTTTCTCATTCAAATTTCATCTCGAGATTTCTCGAAGGATTAAAATCTGCGACAAAGTAAATGATATATTTCGATGAAAGTTTCAAGTCTCTCTCTCTCCGCGGAACGTGAAGTCCGTTTTAATGTCGCTCTAATGGCAAACAAAGCGTTCGCGGAATATATATTCTCATCGAGCGTGCTCAGGCCGTGTTCTGCGGGTACTATTTAATACGACAGTCCCACGACGTCGTATCGTGCAAGGAACTTTTTTCGCCGGTTTCTTAATTTTCATAAAAGCCCCCGGGGGAAGGGATCACGACGCGATCGCGCCCGACTTATCGGACGTGCCGGCCGCGTGCATCGCTTTAATTGGCCTTTATTGAAAGTAATATTAAATGCACGAGATCGTTATCCACGTCTCCTTCAAGACGAAGAAAAGAGAGAGAGCAGAATAGAATGGAGTATATCTCTCCTCTTTGGGGAAAGTAAGGATTTTTAACAATGAAAAATATACATAGTTGTATTGAGTATAATGTAAGTACAGCGAGCAAACGCGCAAAATAAGAGAGACTCTTCGGGAGCGGTTATATTTGCCAGTTTGTCCTCCGTTCTTGAAGTTTCTGCGGGTAATATCGTACATCTATAACACTCCCGTGTACATTACGCTCGCGCACACAAGCGAGTACTTCACGACAATAGTCGGACATCTTTCCGCACAGTCTGCTGCAATAACGCGTGCTTTTAACGACGTTACGTTTATTCTTCGGGAATAACGGGGGAAATGAACTTCCAGCAGCGCGCGCGCAGCTTATCAGACGCGTTTTCTTCGGACGATATTCGAGTGTGTAATTGTAGCTGTTAACGTGACATTGTTTCTCCACTCGATACTACCGGAATTGGCGGAGTCTCGTTTCAAGGTATGAAAACGAGCCGGGCGAGTTAAATCGGATATAATATCAGGTTTTAAACATTTCTCATACATGTCTGTCGTTTTAAATCATATCACATTGGACACGTTAACACATCTAAATTTCAACACGACATTTTAAATGACAATATGTAAGAAAAAAAATAGCTTCACTCAAATGTATCATTCTGAGACTTCTAATGCGTGTAGAAATAACACGCTTAGATTGACAGTGATGAAATGCGAGCCGGCGACAGGCCATTTCAGGATCGATCGTGTGTACTCACTTGACGGTCAGTTGACGTTGGATCAGCAGCTTCTTCTCGATCTGCTCGATCGGGAATTGCGGGACCTCGTAAGGCGCCGAGATCTCGTTCGGCAGCTCGTGGGACGCGTGCCTCATCGAGCCACCACTTGTACCGGTTCCGCCGCCCTCGATGCCGAAGACCGGACTCTCGCTGCCTGCAACGAAGAGCGAATACAGTCCGAAACTGGATGCCGAAGAGCGCGTCTGCCTGTGTACGGGCTCTCTCTCTCTCTCTCTCTCTCTCTCTCTCTACTTTGGCGATAACAATTGATGCTCGAAAGAGAGAGAGAGAGAGAGAAAAAGAAAAATCGTGCCGAAGGGATTCGAGCGTTCCTCAGATGTCGCCGTACCACGGTTTTACGGGGACGCGATCGGGATACGTTCTTTTTACATCGTTTAGGAGCGAACATAAAAAAATGTGACGATAACGGTAAAGAAAAAAGTGAGAGGAAGCGTTTTCATCCACGATGTCGCGGGTGAGATTTACCATTGTCCGTGGCTTGTCCGGTTCTCTGCAGCCACTCGGTTACGGAATTGCGCTTGTACTGGTCGAGAAATACGTTCTCGCTATCCAACACCATCGTAGAACACGATGATATTATCGCGCGTCACGTCCCTGCAAGTATTTTTTCCATTTTTAACACAGCGCGCCTGCCGACGTGTTCGTCGCTCAAGGCTCGGGATGATCGATCGCCGACTCGTTCGAAAAAAAGGAAAAAAAAAAATCGCGAATGTTAAGACAATCAGCTTCGCAAGCGACGTGAAGGTCGTCGCGCAGCACGCCGTTGCGAGTGAGAGTATTATGCGTTATGCTACACACATTAACCCTGACGCATGTTAATGTACGAGGCTCGCATACGTTTTGTGCAAAACGCTAAATACTTTACTGTTATTCCTTTGTTACTTTGAAAAGAAGATTCATGTGATCATTGCTGTTATTAGCCTGATTTAATAATTGCTTTCCTGACAGCAACCAGCCTACGATGAATAAAAATTGATAATAAATTTAATAATTCACAAAAGACTAAATATATATATAAAACACCACTATTTGTGATGTAGGCCTGAGAGACCTGTGATGTTACTTCGCCGTTAAAGACGCAGGTGTTACTTTCAGGATTAAGTGTGCGGAATTTTGTAATAATAAAATAGAAGAACGTTATAATAGTTTTAAAGTTTCGGGAAAAACCCCTCTTTGCCTCAAATTTTCCACGAATTTCTTTGTTTCCTATCCCAAGGGTACAGAAATTCGTTCGGAAGAATTCAAGAGTGTTCGCTTAAAATCCGCAAATAGAAACTATTGTTGCTCTCAAGAGGAACGACGAGCGAAAACCGAACACAGTCAACACGTATGGACCTTTCTCAGTTTCGACGGGAAATCTGGTAATTTTTATCGCGAAAATGTGTTAAAGTTTTGATAATTCAGATGTTTATAGTATTTGCCATACTTTGAATTTATCATACTTTGAATTCACAATGTTTGTGTTTCGGGTTAAATATTTATATTTAGCCGGAGATGAATTCAAATCCAGGATCAAACTATCGGACAATAAACAGGATACTAAGATAAAGATCGCAAGAACTCGGTACATAATAGCGCACTTGATCGGCGCAAAAACAATCGTCGTAATTCGTCGTTGATTAATTTCACAATTGCAATCATAAAAGTTGGCGCACGTTTTTCTCGATTTATCAACGCATCCGACATCCGATAGAAAAACCTGAGAATCTCTCTGGAAAACAAGTTCTTTGCAGTTTTATATTATTCCCGGAGAAATTCTGTTCTTTCCCAATATTTCCGTGTATTTTTTGGCTTCTTATTTTCTTTACGGTAAAAAATAAAACTTTTAACCGAACACACCTAAATTTTTCTAAACGAATTTTTATACCCGAAGCGAAAACCGAAAAAAATGAAGAAGAAACCGGGTTTTTTCCGAAATTGTAAAACTATGCTATTCTTCGTTTTCGGCCGTCTATTCGAAATGCACGGAAGAGGAAATGCGTCAATCTTTGTGTCCGCGGTCATACGGTTAAAAATGCAAACTCATCGGTCGGTGAACGATTATCCGCGCTAATTACGAGGGACAAAAGCGCAATCGAACAATCGAGCGTCACTGCTAATTACAGTTAATTGCAATCGCGAGTACAATGTACGATGATAATTCTTTTGTAATTATTTACAATTCGCGTCTCCCTGGCCGTCTGGATGTTATTTCATCGCTCTAATTTTGATGAGGATTTCAGGATAGGCTCATCGCCGACCGACTCGACCTACGCGGCGCGTATCGTCCCACGATATGATCAATGAACCAACAAGCTCATCGTGACCCTCGACCGACGACAAATTTACGAAAGCCCGACATGTTAATAGGACGCGCGGCACCACAAGCTAGACTATTGTTTTCGTTCGTCACACAGCAGCGATAAACCCTCTCGTCTCCCTCCCGGCGATTTTCTACAGTCGGATGCAAAGTGATTCGACGATGGCGGACGAAAAATTCTTAGGACGGGGTCAGTCTGAGCGTCGTAAGCTTTCACGACCTTTACGTGTCTGCGCGTAATAAATATACGCGGCCTCTGCACGTCAGAGGTTGCATATCGACGCTGATTGAATTGCGTTCTTTTCAATTACGGTCTTTTTCTTTCTTTCTCTTCTATGATTTGCATGAAATTTACACGCGCTCGCTCTTGTAAACTCGGGGAAATTCCGCGAGTTAATTACGTCTCGTGCGCCGAAGATGTGAAATGTTGGGGGAAATAAATGCTATCGATTCCGACGTAATTAAACTCATGACGAGGGCGAAAAACGGCGCGCGAAGGGACTGCGAAAAGAACCATGTTCGGTCTTTGCGACGAATCAAATCGATCGGCAAACTGTCGAAGGCAAAAATGCACGGCGCGACGACGTTTCGACCTCGCCTTTCTGCTCCCAACGTCGGCGGACTCCCAGATGAAAACATAACCGGCTCCCTCGTCCATAAATAGATGACCCGAAGAAATATTTGCGGATCTCTCTCTCTCTCTCTCTCTCGCGAATTGTTTGTTAACACAATGACAGGAAGATCAGTCGCACGGAAAAAAATAATTCCATTGTTGAAACATTGCAACAACGATCAATTTTTGGTCGGCATAACCGAGAATTAATATTCAGAAGAAATCTCTTCCTGTTGTATTAATAAACTTTTCTCGCAAAATCGTCTTCTCCGTGCGAACATGTTGAGGAGAAACCCCTCGTCGAGACTTTAATTTTACGGGGGCATTTTGCAAATTTTAACATTAGCCACGAGTTGAAATCCCACCGAAGAGAGAAAGCGTCTTTACGCACAGCACGATGCCGAGAATCGATCAGAAGAACTTGGTTCGCGATTCCAAGGTCTCGGTTAATTAGCCAATCTGCACGATCGAGGCAACTTCGGGTCTTCGTGAGTGGCCGTAAGAACTCTCACGGCACAGCACGCGTGATCCGTCGCAAAGGTGAATTTTCTCCTGGAGGAAACAGCAAAGTTCTTCCGCCCCGCCGGGAAAACGTGTTTCACGTATGGAGCGCGCGTCGAGAGAGATTCGCTCGACGAGCGAGAAGAGAACCTCGGGTGAGATGCGTGTCTAGTCGACGACGCGTCGGAGGGCACTGACCATGTCGACTGGTCGCCAGCACTGTCGACGAATACACTCATTGGCTGCTCTGACGGGACCGACCTGGTGGAAAAGAGGGACTTGGCAGGCGGCGTGCGTGTGATTCGACGCACACGTACGAGGCTCGTCGTGATATCGGCCAGCCTTTGAACGTTCGATGTTTATTTAAATATTCCGCATTTAAATGTCCGCTACTTAGCGGCGCTAAGTAACATCATTGGATCGTCAAATTCGCAGCAGCGAATCGTCCGAAACCTCGCAAGAATTAACCCTTATCGGACGCTAGCTTTCTATGCGTGATCTCACTAGCTGGTTTCGGTAAATATGCGAACTTGTCACCTCCTACGTAACGTACGACCGCAGCGACGAAGTATTGTTGTCACGTGAGAGGTGACTTACGACCGATAAGGGTTAACGTTGTTGCGTACTCCACTCGTGATCAATCTTTGTGAACTGATTCAACCGTGCGTCGATCTGAAAGGCGCAGAATCGAAAAGAGGGAGGGGGAGAGAGAGCGAGCAAAAGTTACGAAATATAATAAATCTCGGCGGCGGACGTCGAAGCGCCGTTCCGTTCGTTGAATACGATCGACAATGACAGAAATTGAAACTTGTCGGAAATATAAAAGATTAATTAAATCTCGAGAACACATACATCAGTTTGGTTCCTTATCGATAAGGTTGCATTTATCAGTCACGAGCGTCACCATTGATACGATCTTAATGCAAGACTTGCGCTGCAGACTTCCTTCGTCACCCACGTTCGCGTCGAGAACGACTTGCACGCTTTGCACGGCGAAATCGTTGAAACTGGACTTACTTACGCCACTTTTGCAAATCATCGCATTGACATTCTAACGAGGCGACTTGGCACAAACAAGACGTGTTGACTACACTACGCTGTCGGACTAAGAAACGGAACACACGCACATCTCCACGCGATTTTCCATAATGCGATTAATCCGATTTTCGCGCTCGCGGCCTCGCCGTGGTGTATCTATTTCTGGTGTGACCCACATACCCCACTACGACGCACACATGTGTGTGTAGGCGAGTTTGTTCTCGCGCGAACGATGCGACGATCGTGCACTGAGAGAAAAATATAATTATTTTTCGGGGACGACAATATTCTTCTTTTTAGCCACACAAAAAGTAGCAACATGCACATAAGGTTATTAACGCTGAGACTCACAAGGATACTCTAGTTCCCTCGGCTATTTTTGTGATTAAAGTGAAAGAAAAGGATATCGCAGTCTCCGAAAATAACTATATTTTTTCTTCTCTCAGTGTGTGAAGCCGTGATACTATGAGAGAACAATGAGAAGTAATGTGGGAAATAGTTGAAAAATAACACGAGAATAAAGAGCACACGATAATGTACGGGCTGTCTCGCCGGATCATTGAGACGTCGCTGCATTCCTCGTACGTTGCGCGAAACAATGAAGGATAAATTGTTCGGCCGTTCCGCGGATCGCACCGAGTAACGAGAAATACAAGAGATACCATGTTTACCTAGATGTGTT